TAAAAATAATATTATAAAGACGTATGATGTCCACCACCACGTATTAAGGGACCGCCGTGGATTCTTTTGTACTTCAAAAAACCCTTAAAACAAAAGAATGTCTGTGCCCCAATATCCAACGAATGAACGACTTTATATAAAATGAAATTTTTCGCATAAATTTCATTGAAGGCAATTCTTTGCCCAGCCGCCCAGCGAAGAGTATTGTTATTCGGGGTAATAAATATGTGCTACTTTGTGACCCGTAGTGTAAACAAAACGATGGAAACAGAGTGATGAATTTTGGGCCTGCGAAGGGGTTCAAATCACGTCCGAAACATGTGTATGACTTACAAATATTTATTAATCCGGGTCTGTAAGTATTTGTCTATGTGCAATTTATCTATGTAAGAATTACTTTTTTTAATTTTGTACCATGAAATAGCACGTTTTTCATATTCCTACATAGCAAAACTAGACATTTGTCAAATATTCATTTCTCATGACCGAATCATTCTAGTACATTTCTTCACGCACACATTCCGATAGATCATTCAAATGGATCACTTCGGGCTCCCGTATCCAACAATAAAAACAATTCATTCAGATCATTTGGGACTCGGTCGGTTTTCGACTCATTTACAATTCACACCAGGTTTCCTCAATTGTTTGTGATTTTTTTTGTACGTTAGGCTGACAAACGAGCACACAATCCACCTAATGGTAAGTAGTTGCTGCGGACCATAGACATCTACATATATCCTCGATTACGAATCAAAATGCAGATGCGTTGTCACCCATGAGGACTTAGGTGGAATGCCTCATTTCCAGTAAAAAAGGGTCTCCGGTTCACTACATTCACTATCCGAAACACAGCAGCATTAAGCTACTATTTGACGCCGGTATTCTGTGAGAGCGTGGTCCCTCCCCGGTCGAGCCGACCCATTCATGCTACAACTATACTACTAATATAACTACAGCGTGGCTCTACCACGTAAAAAACGTGATTAGTTATATGGGAACATTCAAAAACAGATGAATGACCCATCAATACTTTTAAGCGTACCGGAACAAACGAACGAATCATTCATGATTGACACATGTCTATTCTGAAATATGTTCAAACTTTCAAATATCTAGCTCATGAGGAAGTGCTCGAAATTTCAGTTGAAGTATCCAAACCGGAACGACAGACAGACAAACAAGAAAGTGACTTAATAAAAACGTGTTAAAATGCCTTGACATGCTATGACAATCACGACGATATCGAACCGGAGAAGATCCTGGTGTGAGTGGGGTAATAAAAACAAATTGTTAAAAAAGAGCTCATTTTTTATTTAGTAGAGAATAATTGAAAAGTAAGTAAGTAAAGATGGCAATACTATTTCTTATAAATCAAATATTTCACGATACTAATTTTGTATTAATTTTTCTTATTGTTCAGTTTCGCTATGCAGTTCCAATCGTACTTCGTATTGTGATCGGTACCAAATCCACCAACTTAGAGCGTGACGAGTCGTCGCCGAAACAATCCAGCAATAGTAACATACCTAGTGCATAGTTCATTATTTAAAACTATTGTTAATTAATATTAAGTTTTATACAAACCATTTTTTAATAAAAATTAGTTATAATCTGTTAAAATTACTGTAAGTTACAGTCCACATGATGTTATGATGTTAAGTGGCCCAGTTCCTTCCCCTTCTTCTTAATATGGTAGCGCAGTTAAATAGAACACCACCCCAGGAGGCAAACACCCCTGGCGACGGAGAATCCCTCGCTGAGTATCCACGCTCAAGCTACCCTACTCTTCCAGAGCGTGGGTGTAGTCACAAAAAGTGGCGAGTGTAGTCACACGCAACCAACTGCAAATAAAGCAGGTTATAGATGCGTTGACACCTATGAGGACTAAGATGGAGTGCCTCACAGTCTGTACTCGTAAATAAACTGAGCTGTCTATACTTTTCAGACCTAAGCACATCACACGCACTGCTACTTGGCGGTGGATGTAGGTAAAAAGGTGATGCTTACCCAACCGGACTCTTAGACAAAAAAGGTGTCCCACCACTTATAGTTTCTACAAACATACTAAGAAATAAATACTGTTAAAGCTATTTTTACCATATTAATCATACTTAAAGATTATTTTAGATTTCATTTTATTTAAATAATTTTACCTGTAGTATCCATCATGTTTTCATATATCATGTAACATTCAACGGCTATACATTTAACTGTTAGCACAACCTCAAAGCTTGAAGTTGTATATAATACTTAGTTTTCCAACGGATTAGTACGCTGAAGTTGCAATGGGCGGACCATATAGCTCGAAGAAACAACCACCGATGGAGAAGAAAGGTTCTCAAGTGGCAGCCGCATAGTGTTAGGTGAAGCGTAGTGTGGCCACCCACTAGATGAAGTGACGACTTGGTAAGACATGCATGAAGTCGATGTATTGGGTGGCTCAGGACCGTGCTTTGTGGTATCCCTTGGGGAGGCCTATGTTCAGCAGTGAAGGGCTGTAAGGCTGTTACGTTGTGAAGGCATGTAATGATGATGATCATGATGATAAAAACTTATTGAATATTGTAATAATTTTATATTAAACAAGTTTTGTGATATTATTATGTCTACCATTACTATGTACAATATCGTACATATATACTTACAATCCTAACATAATATGCAAAAAAACACTTACAAGTGTCATACATCCCAGGACAAAAGTGGAAGCCAGAGGCCAAGGTATTGCTGAAGAGTGATTTTCTTCTGATATTAATCCAGTAAACGTTCTGCCAGAAAGCCATGCTGCCATAATAGCTAGCGGGGACATCAATATAATTCCTAGAGTATCCACCATTAGCTAGAAATAATAAGAATTATTAACATTAGCTTGAGTCATAGTAGCTCGGGAGATAAACCTTTGCCGTAGATTTTCAAAGTACTCGAGCAACCAGGGTTGGTTGGTCCCACCGCTATCAACGTAATATTTAATAGTAATTACACGAATTGGGACGGCGTCTAACTTGCCTTAAAACCTTCGTAAGATACACACACACACACACACACACACACACACACACACACACACACACACACACACACACACACACACACACACACACACACAAGAATTGTTTGTGTATGTAGTGAAGACTCCAATAGAAGAACCAATTGCCTTTGGCGCATAGAGTTTTTATAGTTGTATCAAGGATGTAACATAATTGCATCGATCGAGCACCGATTGACCAGAACATTGATTTATATATTACACTTTGTATAACTCAATGGACCAGAAAGGAAGCTAATGCTAAAAAACGCGGTACTCATATACAATACAGAAATTTTCCATATAGTAGGGTAATTTAAAAAAGTAAAAGTACACAATAATAATACAAGTCAACCTTAAAATAAAATTATGGTATTTTCGCTTACTGTTATGAGATTAAGAGTGTGATCGGAGAGTTTTTGTGTTCTTCTGCGGCGGGTCTTGCAGAACTTAGCTCCGACCGCATGGACAGTTTCCACGAGCTTGTCATTCATATCGTCCAATGCATTGCAATCTTGTAGGCACTGAAAGCGGTTGTGTAACTCGAGCTGAAAGTTTTCGGGATTTTGGATTAGAGCACGAGGAGGACGGAGCGTTGACTTCATTAGACGAGACCTCTCCAACTTAACGTTTAGGTTCAGTGTGCCTCTAACCATTCGGTGATCGCTGCCAGTTTTCACCCTTACGATCACTGAGACATCACTGAACAGTTGGCGTCTGGTCGTCATAATGAAGTCAATCTCATTTTTTGTCGAACCGTCGGGGCTCGACCAGGTCCACTTCCTGTGGGGCCGCTTCTGGAAGAAAGAGTTCATCATAAAGAGTCCCTCTTTCTCCATAAAGTCGGCCAGCTGCTGGCCCCTTCGGTTCCGTTGCCCTACTCCAAATTTCCCTAACTTCAGCTCACCGTTTTCTCTTGTGCCTAGTTTTGCGTTGAAGTCTCCCATCAACACCGTGTAGTGGGTTTTGGAGGAATGCATGGCTTTGGAAATATCCTAATACATTTCCTCCACCTCCTCATCGGAATGTGCCGAGGTTGGTGCGTAAACCTGTATGACCTTCAGCGAATACCGTTTGGTGATTCATCACATTCAGTATCAGGTACGCGACCCTCGTCGACACACTCCCAATCTTTATAACGTTGTTGTCGAGAGACTTGTGGACGATAAATCCGACACCTCCTTGGGACAGATGGTCGCCCTCCCGGTGATAGAACAAGTTGCCGATTTCGAGAATCACCGTGTCCTCCCCCTCTCTTCGGACCTCGGATAATCCTATAATACTCCAGCGCAACTTATCTATCTCTTCTTCCAGCTCCAGTATCTTCTCGTCCGTCCTCAGTGTGCGTGCGTTAAATGTTGCCAGGTCGAGTCGTTGTAGGTGGCAACCGAACCTCCACCGGAGATTCTTAGCACCCCCTGCCCCGCCGTTACCATGGTCGCCACCGTAGCCAGGAATAGCAGGGCCGCCGGGGACTGGGGGCCGTCTATTTGTGTAATTGTTCATGGGGGGTATATTGCCATAGTTGCCACGCTTGGCGAGCGGGTTGGCAACCGCAGTTTTTTTGTCGTACAGTTGCTGTTATCAGGAAGATGCTGCTGCCCATCTCATGCCTGTTTCCCTCTGTCGCCTTTTACGACACCCACGGGAAGATATGGGGTAGTGGATATTCTTAACCGCCACTACACGGCATAACATCATATAATACATACTATGAAATAATGGTACGAATAGGATAAATATACTACGAAATCCGACCCTGGTTACGTCGTGTTATGATGTTATGACGTGTATCGTGTTATGATATTATGACGGATGCGCTTTTACCTTTTCTTGTACGAAGAAGTTATGAGTAAAATATTTAGATGGGCGTATCCCTTCTTTTGAAATAATTAATTGGCTTTAGCTATTTCAACTTACGTATTTTTATCAAAGTTGATAATGAAATTATAAATATTTAAACAACAAAATATCACGTGTGTACCTGTTTAGCATTTTGACTTAAAATCCACATAATTAGACCTTTAGGAACACCATATCTGTGGACACGACGAGTGACATAACGAATACCGCATAATTCACACCTTGACTTTCCAGATTCCGTTAACCAACGTTCCAAACATCGTATATGCACTCTTCCTACCGTCCCTCGACAAGAACACGCCGATATTAAAGTGCCAAGTTCTTGAGAAAACGTGTCACCTCCATGACATATACGACACATGTCCTCAATGGAATAACTTTTAGATAATGCTTCATTGTTATAATTATCTGTTATTTTTTCTATGCTTAACGTGTCAGGAATTGTTTTCAAGTCTTCTGTATCCGTTCCTATGGACAGTTGAGTTATTACTTGGCTACCTGTCCAGGGAATTGTACGCTTAATATTTCTTATTTTTATTTTATGTTGCCGAGCATGTCTGCTTCTTTTTATTGCCGCTTTTTGTATATCAGATTGTGTTTGAATTTTTGTTGTGTCTTCTTTTGCTGTTACTAAAGACTTTTTAGAAAATGTAGTAGATGTATTGGCATTATTTAAATTGCTTATGTTTAATATAACTGATTTATCTTTAACAATGCTTTTTCTATCGTCCTTACATATTGTTATAATAGGAAGAGTCAGCTCATCACAATCAACCTTTGATACACAAGATGTAGTAGGTTTTACATCATTTTTGATATCATAATTACTAAAAAGAAATAAAATGATAATAAAAGGAATATAAACAAATATTACACATAATTATGCCCCAAATAGTAATTTTGCTTTAATCTTAAATAATATTTGAATGCATGAAAAATTACCTGACTAGCTTTGCATTTTGAAATTGTGTTATACCATTGGTTATTAAATTATTTTTTACTGAAAATTTTCTTCGCCTTGGATGTGGCATCTTACTATAATTTTGAAATTTTATTGGCTAGGTATATTATTTTTAACAAGAAATATTAGTTTATGTTGTCATTTCTGTAATGTAATATGATATGTCACGTCATAGATTATTATTTACGTATGATAATTTAATTTTGTCCGAGATTTATAGATTTAAATACCAGAGATAAGGAGTATGTAATCGCATTTTTTAATGTATATAGTATTTATTATTGTGTTAAGAACATAGACAGTGCACTATATATTATAAGATAAGTAAAATAGGCTGTAAAATGTACTATGATAATTACACTATTTGTTCTCTGATTTTCTATTTTATTTAATATAAAGACATAACCTCAACAAATCACTGATTTAAATAAAAAACACATCAAAATAAAGGTGCTTCTATATTACCTGAGTTAGTGTCGGAATCCGTAGCGTTTATATATAAAGAGATGTCCAGTTCTTCGTTCATTCATAATTTATTCAGCCTATCAAAAATCCTCTGCTGAACATAAAGTAATCTGAATACTTCGAGATATAATTCCGCCTTCCTCATAAATCACTTCTGGGGGGAGGGGGGGGCTATTTATCATAGTTGTCACGCTTGGTTGGCTTGGTTTCGCAAACGTTTTATTTAATTATTATTATATGATCACATATATTATCACAAAACTATAATATTACAAATATAAATACAGTCTATATAAATAATATTATTATTTCGACTATTATCCACCGCGGCGAGGAATTCTAAGCCATCGGTGAATTTAGGCATCCAAAGATAGGAACCTTCTTACTATTCGAGCCGTATTTAATAAGGCCGATTTTCGAATTAATGCTTTCAGCCATTTGCCCAAGCCTAACTTGGACAAATAATCGTCCATATTTTTACCAATAAGTCCATTGACTGATACAACTACTGGTACAATAATAGTAGAATCAACGTCCCACATAGCGACAATCTCATGGGCCAAGTCGATATATTTTATTTTTTTATCATTCTCTGCTTTCACGAGATTCTCGGTATGAGGAATACTGATATCTACTATTATTGCCTTGCGTGTAGTTCGGTCTATCACCACAATGTCAGGTTTATTTGCCACTATAAACCTGTCTGTGATAATTGACCGATCCCAGTACAGCGTGACACTTCTATTTTCAAGGACTGGCTTTGGTTCATACTTATAATAAGGAACATCCTGTTGAGTAAAGCCAAATTTAATGGCAAGCTGTTGGTGTATTATTCTAGCTACTTGGTTATGTCTGTGCAAATACTCACCATTTGATAGTTGTGAACAACCGGAAATAACATGTCTGAGGGACTCTCCAGGGTGGTGACATGCGCGACATACGTCAACTGTGCCGTCCCTCAAAATGTATTTCCGGCAGTTGTTCGTTTTAATTACTTCATCTTGTATTGCACAGATAAAACCTTCAGTTTCTGCAAAAAAGGTCACCAAATTGTAACCAATGTACTGATGCAACCATGTCTACATAAGGATTAGTCAATGCTTTAAAAAATCGACCATTATTATTATTATTATTGTGGGGTATCTATATAGTTTTCTCATCTGGTTGGGTTCTATAAATATATAATTATAAATGAAAATGAAAAGATAAATATACATATATATCAATAACATAAAATAAATATAAAAATACATAAATAAATAAAAGCCCAACCAGATGGAGGCCCTCGGCAGGGGAAACCAAACGGCCGAGGGTTAGGGGGAAAGGGAAAGAAACCGGCGGACGATGCGGGCGGTATTGCGGAGCACCGCCTTCTGCATTTGAGCCCGGAGCGGTCCGCCACGTAGTCCCATTCGCCTCAGATGACCCGTGAGGCTGACTGGGATTAGCCCGTTTGCAGAGACGACTACAGGAATAATTTCGGTCGGCAGACCACCCCACATGTCAGTCACCTCGTGAGCCAGGTCCAGATATTTTGTTTGCTTGTCTGTTTCGGCTTTCACGAGGTTCTCGTCATACGGAATGGTAATGTCGACCAAAAATATCCTTGACTGTGCCCGGTCCATCAGCACAATATCAGGCTTATTCGCAAGAATAGTCCTGTCTGTGATGATGGCCCGGTCCCAATAGAGCCTGGCGCGATCATTTTCGAGCACGGCTTCCGGCAAGTACTTGTAATACGGCAATTTCCGATCCACGAGACCGTATTTCAGAGCGAGCTCCTGGTGAAGAATTCTGGCTACTAGGTTGTGCCTGTGCAAGTACTCAGAGTTAGAAAGCGCCGAACAACCGGAGATGACATGCCTAAGTGACTCACCGGGATGGCGACAAGCTCGACAGATGTCCACGGTGCCATCCTTTAGGATGTATCTCCGATAGTTGTTGGTCTTAATAACCTGATCCTGTATTGCACAGACAAAACCCTCGGTTTCCCCGAAGAGATCACCAAAGCGTAGCCAGTGGAGGGAGGCTACTGTGTCTACGAAAGGCTCATGTAGAGCCTTGTAGAACCTCCCGTGGAGCTCCTTCTCCTTCCATACGTTCTCCCGGTCGGAAATTGTCTGCACTGCCGGGTCTTGCCATTGCTCGTTGGCTAAGGATAGAGGGGTAAGTCCTTTATCACTAGAAATTACGTCCTTATAGAATGGATCATCCGATCTCGCCAGGAAGTAATTACGGAGGCTGCACACTTCGCGATTATGCATGGTGAGCGCGCTCAAGAAGCCACGCCCACCATGCTTTCGCGGCAAGTACAGCCTCATTACCGACGATCTCGGATGATGCATCCTGTGGGACGTCATGGTAGTGCGGACTTTTCTATCCAGGAAGTTAAGTTCAGTCTGAGTCCACCTGAGTATGCCAAAGGTATACATGAGGACAGGCATGACCCAGCCGTTATATGCGTGTGTCTTATTTACACCGGACAAAAGGCTGTTAAGCACTTTGGTCAAGCGTGCATAAAACACGTCGCAAAATGACTGTTTCATACCAGCCTCATCGATACCGATGTTCTGTGACATACCCAGGTATCGGTATGTTTCAGCCTCGGAAAGGGTCCTTAAGTTGACGGGCATAGATAAGTCTATGCCCTCAGAGTTAGCAACCCTCCCCCTTTCAACATGGAGGACCGCACACTTATCCGTTCCCAGCTTCATTCCAATAGAATTGCTAAATTCACAAGTGATGTTTAGCAATTCCATAAGATGGGAGCGACTGGAGGCGAATAACTTGAGGTCATCCATATAGAAAAGGTGGGTCACTTTTGTACCTCCTTTTCGAAGCTGAAATCCCCTCCCGGAGCCCTCCAGTAAAGTACTGAGAGGGTTCAGGGAGAGGCAAAACCAGATTGGACTCAGACAATCGCCCTGGAAGATACCCCTTCTTATCCTTATGTGGTTCTCCGCAGCCATCATCCGCTCGCCCAGATAGCAAAGGATCGTACTCCATTGCCCCATACACTGCTCGAGGAAGTCTCCAACTGTACCGTCAATTTTGTACAGCTGGAGGACTCTCTTTAGCCATGTATGGGGCACCGAGTCGAATGCCTTTCTGTAGTCTATCCAGGCGGCGGAGAAATTCCGACGGTTGCGTTTCACCACTTTGCCAATGACCGCGTCAATGAGGAGTGGTTCCTTGGTTCCACGACCACCGCCCCGGCATCCATTTTGAGCGCGTGACATCACCTGATTTAGCTCCAGGTGACGAGTGATTCTCGTGCTCAAAATGGATGTCAGTGTCTTATATATGGTGGGCAGACACGTGATGGGGCGGTATTTGCTCGGGTCTGTGGTATCCTGATCTTTAGGAACCAAATGAGTGATCCCAGTAGTGAAGAGGCTCGGGAGCGACTTCTGGTCGAGAGCCTCTTGAAACTGTCGGGCGAGCACAGCGTGACACACTACGAACCCCTTCAGCCAGTAATGATGCAGCCCGTCGAGCCCCGGACTTTTCCAGTTCGGGGCCCTACGGACCGCCTCAGCCACGTCTTCAGGCGTTATGGTGACGGGGTCCATAGGCGTAACACTTGCACTCTGGCTCGCCACAACTTCCATCCAAGGGCCCTCGCTGTGGTTTACGGGCTCTGACCACAGGCCACGCCAAAATGCGACAGTGTCAGCCTGATCCGGTCCTGGGCCCGCTCCACATACCTCTGGTCGCTCCAATGATTTATAGAGCCTCTTCTGATCACTCTGGAAGAGACGATTCTGGTTGAACCGCCTTGACCTCTCGCTAAATCGTCGAATCCGCTTCCCCCCAAGCAGCGATTTTTTGCTTCAGGTCATCTATGCGCTCCGTTAGTTTTTGCGTGATATCCGGCTGGAACAAACTGATATTTGTCCCAGCAAACGCCATCCTAACGGTGCGCATAATCCTCGGTCTATTATTACCCGACCTGAAGCTTGTCAGTCTGCCGATAAGGGCCCTTGCCTTTGCGATACGGTCCTCAATTTTTTTCTCCAGGCTGGGATGGCGCCACTTTTTTGAGTAGCACGTCCAGCCACGGGAAGTTTGGCGCCAATAATACGGCATACTGCCAGTGCGGCGCCAAAAAGAATTGAATCCGTCTCGCAAAGGTCCCGGCTGGCTTCCAAATAGGTCACCAGCATTGGGTTAAGAGCCCGCACGACAGCCCGATTTCGCTTGCTAAGGGGTATGCGGGGAAGTCGCGGTCGATTTTCGAGAGGCATGCTGCGCGTTTCCAGCATCGACTCTTCCAATATGCTCCTCATTTTCTCTAGTTCGTGGGAGACTATTCCATCATCGTCTGAATTAGCCACAAATGGAATGTTGACGGCAGCATCCACATATGCAGTTTGTTGCGCATCTAGTGGCGCCGCATTCCCAGCCGTAGCATTTCCATTCGATGAAGGAATAGCCTCACGTCGTAGTCGCTCGAGTTCGGCGTCACCAAATATGTTGGAGCGCAGGATGTACCTAACTCGGTCTGCCAGGTTTTGCTCAGTGACGGATAGAGATGGCTCCAGCTCTGCAAAAAAGCGATGCATCCGAGCCCGATACGCCAAACATCCAGTTTCTTCCCCTTTTGCCCTAAAATACGCCCGCAGTGCGTTTTCATTCATTGCGATTTAGACCAACGCATGCGACGTGCTCCACCAGCGGCGGGTGCTTCCGCTTGCTGAGTCCGAGAAGACCCAGCCGACACCAAGCCTTCTGGTGGGGATGATGGATGCGGGGGGCTGCTAGGTGGTCTTGCAACACCCCGCGCTCGGCTGGCGGCCCGCATGCTGTCGCGTCCAGCGCCAGCTCCAGACGCGCCCTGGCGACCTCCAGGCAGCGGCCCCTTGCGCACTATCTTTTTCTCCATCATCCATAATATGGGCGTCCATTAACGGGAGACGCCCAGGCCCGGCACCGTATCGTGGACGGCCATAAGCACAAACGGGCCTTTGCACCCTGAATTCTGCCGAGGCACGGCGCTCACACCTCTCGCAAGGCGATGACTGACTGCGTTGACGTAGCAGTTTTGTCACTTAACTGTTACGTCAGCGGGCGATGGGGTCGTCAATTCCCTACGCCATTATAATTATTATTATGGGATATCTATATAGTTTTCTCATCTGGTTGGGTTCTATAAATATATAATTATAAATGAAAATGAAAAAATAAATATACATAAATATCAATAACATAAAATAAATATAAAAGTACATAAATAAATAAAAGCCCAACCAGATGGAGGCCCTCGGCAGGGGAGACCAAACGGCCGAGGGGTAGGGGGAAAGGGAAAGAAACCGGCGGACGATGCGGGCGGTATCGAGGAGCACCGCCTTCTGCATTTGAACCTGGAGCGGTCCGCCACGTAGTCCCAGCCGCCTCAGATGACCCGAGAGGCTGACTGGGATTAGCCCGTTTGCAGAGACGACTACAGGAATAATTTCGGTCGGCAGACCACCCCACATGTCGGTCACCTCGTGAGCCAGGTCCAGATATTTTGTTTGCTTGTCTGTTTCGGCTTTCACGAGGTTCTCGTCATACGGAATGGTAACGTCGACCAAAAATATCCTTGACTGTGCCCGGTCCATCAGCACAATATCAGGCTTATTCGCAAGAATAGTCCTGTCTGTGATGATGGCCCGGTCCCAATAGAGCCTGGCGCGATCATTTTCGAGCACGGCTTCCGGGAAGTACTTGTAGTACGGCAATTTCCGGTCCACGAGACCGTATTTCAGAGCGAGCTCCTGGTGTAGAATTCTGGCTACTAGGTTGTGCCTGTGCAAGTACTCAGAGTTAGAAAGCGCCGAACAACCGGAGATAACATGCCTAAGTGACTCACCGGGATGGCGACAAGCTCGACAGATGTCGACGGTGCCATCCTTTAGGATGTATCTCCGATAGTTGTTGGTCTTAATAACCTGATCCTGTATTGCACAGACAAAACCCTCGGTTTCCCCCGAAGAGATCACCAAAGCGTAGCCAGTGGAGGGAGGCTACTGTGTCTACGAAAGGCTCATGTAGAGCCTTGTAGAACCTCCCGTGGAGCTCCTTCTCCTTCCATACGGTCTCTCGGTCGGAAATGCTCTGCACTGCCGGGTCTTGCCATTGCTCGTTGGCTAAGGATAGAGGGGTAAGTCCTTTATCACAAGAAATGACGTCCTTATAGAATGGATCATCCGATCTCGCCAGGAAGTAATCACGGAGGCTGCACACTTCGCGATTATGCATGGTGAGCGCGCTCCAGAAGCCACGACCACCATGCTTCCGCGACAAGTACAACCTCATTACCGACGATCTCGGATGATGCATCCTATGGGACGTCATGGTAGTGCGGACTTTTCTATCCAGGGCGTTAAGTTCAGTCTGAGTCCACCTGAGTATGCCAAAGGTATACATGAGGGCAGGCATGACCCAGCCGTTATATGCGTGTGCCTTGTTCACACCGGATAAAAGGCTGTTAAGCACTTTGGTCAAGCGTGCATAAAACACGTCGCAAACTGACATCATACCAGTCTCATCGATACCGATGTTTTGTGACATACCCAGGTATCGGTATGTTTCAGCCTCGGAAAGGGTCCTTAAGTTGACGGGCATAGATAAGTCTACGCCCTCAGAGTTAGCAACCCTTCCCCTTTCAACATGGAGGACCGCACACTTATCCGTCCCAAGCTCCATTCCAATGGAATTGCTAAATTCACAAGTGATGTTTAGCAATTCCATAAGATGGGAGCGACTGGAGGCGAATAACTTGAGGTCATCCATATAGAAAAAGGTGGGTCACTTTTGTCCCTCCTCTCCGTAGCTGAAATCCCCTCCCGGAGCCCTCCAGTAAGGTACTGAGAGGGTTCAGAGAGAGGCAGAACCAGATTGGACTCAGACAATCGCCCTGGAAGATACCCCTTCTTATCCTTATGTGGTTCTCCGCAGCCATCATCCGCTCGCCCAGATGACAAAGGATCGTACTCCACTGCCCCATACACTGCTCGAGGAAGTCTCTAACTGTACAGTCTATCTTGTACAGCTCGAGGACTCTCTTTAGCCATGTATGGGGCACCGAGTCGAATGCCTTTCTGTAGTCTATCCAGGCGGCGGAGAAGTTCCGACGGTTGCGTTTCACCACTTTGCCAATGACCGCGTCAATGAGGAGTGGTTCCTTGGTTCCACGACCACCGCCCCGACATCCATTTTGAGCGCGCGACATCACCTGATTTGAGTCCAGGTGACAAGTGATTCTCGCGCTCAAAATGGATGTTAGTGTCTTGTATATGGTCGGTAGACACGTGATGGGGCGGTATTTGCTCGGGTCTGTGGTACCCTGGTCTTTAGGAACCAAATGAGTGATCCCAGTAGTGAAGAGGCTTGGGAGCGACTTCTGGTTGAGAGCCTCTTGAAACTGTCGGGCAAGCACAGAGTTACACACCATGAACCCCTTCAGCCAGTAGTGATGCAGCCCGTCAAGCCCCGGACTTTTCCAGTTCGGGGCCCTACGGACCGCCTCAGCTACGTCATCCGGCGTTATGATGACGGGGTCCATGGGCGTAATACCCGCACACTGACTCGCCACAACTTCCGTCCAAGGGCCCTCGCTGTGGTTTACGGGCTCTGACCACAGGCCGCGCCAGAATGCTACAGTGTCGGCCTGATTCGGTGCTCGACCCGTTCCACTTACCATTGGTCGCTCCAATGATTCATAGAGCCTCTTCTGATTACTCTGGAAGAGACGATTCTGGTTGAACCGTGTCGACCTCTCGGTATATCGCCGAATCCGCTTTCCCCAAGCAGCGATTCTCTGCTTCAGATCATCTATGCGCTCCGTCAGTTTTTGCGTTATATCCGGCTGGGACAAACTGACATTTGTCTCAGCAAACGCCATCCTGACGGTGTGCACAATTCTTGGCCTGTTGTTGCCTGATCCGAAGCATATCAGTCTGCCGATGAGAGCTCTAGCCTTTGCGATACGTTCCTCAATTCTTCTTCTCCATGCTGGGATAGCGCTACTATGGCCAGTAGCGCGTCCAGCCGTGGAAACCTTGGCGCCTATGATACGGCAGACTGCCAGCGCGGCGCCAAAAAGAATTGAGTCCGTCTCGCAAAAGGTCCCGGCTGGCTTCCAAATAGGTCACCAGCATTGGGTTCAGAGCCCTCACGACAGCCCGATTCCGCTTGCTTAGGGCTATGCGGGGAAGTCGCGGTCGATTTTCGAGAGGCGTACTGCGCGTTTCCACAATCGCCTCTTCCAATGTACTCCTCATATGCTCTAATTCCAGTTCCTGGGCGACTGTTCCATCATCGTTTGAATCAACCACAACTGGGGTATTCACGGCGGCATCCACGTTTGCGGGTTAAACGTGGATGCTGCCTAAGACGATGCATCCTGGACCGATACGCCAAACATCCAGTTTCTCCCCCTTTCGCCCTAAAATACGCCCGCAATGCGTTCCTGTTCATCTGGGTTGTCCAACGCATGCGGCGTACTCCACCAGAGGCGTGTGCCGATTGCTGGGCCCGCGAAGACCCTGCCGACACCAAGCCAGCTGGTGGGGATGATGGATGCGAGGGGGCTGCTGGGTAGTCGTGCAGCATCTCGCGCTCGGCTGGCGGTTCGCATGCTGCCGCGTCCAGCGCCAGCTCCAGACGCGCCCTGGCGACCTCCAGGCAGCGGCCCTTTGCGCGTTCTTCCGTATTCCATCATCCATAGTGGTGGGCGTCATTTAGCGGGAGACGCCCAGACCCGGCGCCGTTTCATGGTGAGGCCATGTGCACAAACGGGCCTTTGCACCTTCAATTTTTGCCGAGGCACGGCACTAACACCTCTTGGCAAGGTGCTGACTGACTGCGCTGACGTAGCGGTTTTGTCACATAACCGTTACGTCAGCGGGCGATGGGGTCGTCACATCCCTACGCCTTTTATTATCATTATTATTATTATTGAGTTGTTATCAGGTAGATGCTTATGCTTACTCATTGTTTGGTTATGCTTTAGTTATTGTTGTTCTATTCAATAGCGGCGATAAGTGATATTTTTGCTTTATTTTAAATTGATATTCATTATTTTTTGTTACTAAGTTCTTTATATTATGCGTTTTTGTTAACTTCAGTTTTCCATATGTAAGTTTTAATTATTGTCGATGGTTTTTACTTTTTGAATAAATTTTGTTTACCTTTCAACTTGTTTCTGATATTCTTAATTAATTTTCTCGGTTTTTATTTATGTATATATTTGCCTATTTTTTATAAAAATCCTTAAAATAAAAAATAAAAAATTTAAAAAAAATTAATTATGTCCTACTTAGTCTTTCCTATCTGCATGTATCTGTTCGTTGGTCGTATCTTCACCATCAGGTAGACTGCGTGCTCTTTTGTGTAAGTGCTGTGATCCACATACATCTTACTACATTTATCTTTAATTAATAATCAAATTGCAGATACATTGTCACCCCTGAAGCCGAACATGGAGTACCTCGTTTCTAGTAAAATGGGTCTCCGATCCTCTATACTCATCATACGTAATACAGCAGTATTAAGCTGCTGTTTTACGCTATTATTCTGT